AAACAAAGCAACGGGGTTCCGGATCAGTTTAGAACAAGTATGTATATTTTGGATTGTCGGTCAATTCTCGACTTCTCTTTCATCTATAAATGTTATAAATGAAATATATTTTGATAGTTATCTCTTTGATTTCTATTTTTTAATAAATAATTATACTTCTTGAATATAAAAAAAAATTCATATATTTTTTTAAATAAATATTTATAATTTATAATATTTATTTATGTATAATTATTAGAGATACATCTCTTATAATATATAAAACAGGAATATTCCAATTAAAGAAAACGGCGTTAAAAAACTGAACCAAACCTCGATATGGAAACGAGAAAGCGCAGGGAATTATTCATAATGGGTCGTCGCGATCCATCAACGTTACAGGGAGATTCCAATTCCCATTCCAATATTCCCTTCAGTAGAACTCATTTGTTATCCGATTCCATCAATACCTGGCAGAACCACCATTATTACCTGCATCAAGTAAAAAGTAATGAAAAAACATTTTACCTGCATTGTTTTGTACGTCCCTGCTATCTTTCTCTGTGCATAGTCCTTTGATGAATACTCACCTTCCATAAATAACTAGGATAAAATGTTTGCAACGAGTCTACACTCAGAGGAATAATAAGAAAAACAATATTACTATGATTATTAAGATAAAGCCATAAAAAAGAGAAAAGAAAATTAAGAATGTTATGAGACTTTTGAAATACACAATTTTTTTCATATTTGAAATTTTTTTTAAAGTTATATATTTTTTAGAAATCATAAAAAAACTTATTTAATTAATCATAGATGTTTTTAAAAATATTTTTAAATATTTAAAAATAATTTTTTTATTATATTAAATAAGTAAATAAAATATTTTTAATATATATATATATATATGAGGAATGTTCAAACAACACCGGTGTAACTTTTACTAAGTGTTATACCGCTCAATAACTTAAAATTAAATGTGAATTTTGTAAAGCTAACCGTTGGATTAAAAATTCATATTACTTTATATGTGTATATCAAATTTTGTTAAAATTGAATAACAACTTGAAGGTAATCAAAATGTTCATATTTTAGTATATTTTAAAATAAATATATTACGTCAATTTTGTTTTATAAGAATGAAGTATCAAATCATCTTGGATTAATATAAAATTTTGTATATATGATCTAAGAGTAAAGAACTTTCAATTTAATGGTTAGATTTACAAAATTCATATTTAATTTAAAATTATTGAACGGTATAACACTTAGTAAAAGTTACATCAGTATCGTTTGAACTCTCTAATATATATATATATATATAAGAATAATTTCGTAAAAAATCTATACAAAAATTACTTTTCGGGGAATACTATATTTCTTAAAAATGTTATTTTTTAAAGAACAAAACGTAGAACATTAATTAACATTCCTATAACATCAAAATTTTAGGAAAGTGAAGAATTTTCTGTGTACAAAACGTCTCCTAAAGAGTGTTTTTCTTCACAGATTTCAAGAATTATAAATTTGGAAATGTCATATTTTCATGTTTGTTTGAAGCTTTGAAAAAATATTTTTTAGTATTATTTTATAGTATGATTTACTTCATTTCTATTCCCACGGATGAGAAAATTGTATTCCCGTAGAAATCTGAAAAGTTATATTTGAACCCACTCATTTAACATTTTATTTTTATTTTAAAATTAAAAATTATTCATAAAAATCCTACTAAAAACATTTTTTTATTATTTCTAAAATTAAAATTCTAAATAATGATATTCTTAAAAATATATATGATTGTTGAGAATCTAATATCATATATACAAACAAACGCATTCTTAATATAATATTATTTATACTATTTTGTTGGGGGGGGGGGGGGCGGTGAGTATAAACCATCTATCCTATTAGGTTTTGAATTTAGAAATAATGTATTTTGAGGATAGATTCATCTTAGGTTGTTCCAACAAATTTTAGTATTCTATATTCTCTTAAAAGATATTTTTTTTCTAATAATGGTGTATAAATAATATTTTTTTTACTTTAATAGATTATATTTTGTGTTGCGTGATAGTATATATTTATAATTTATTATTATTATTATTAT